CGGCTCAAGCCTTAGAGTTCTACCCAGCAGTGCTCTCATTTTGGAAATAACCCTTCATTTTTCACTTGTTTCAGAGAATTAAAAATTTCCTGTCATGACTTGGCCTAGAAAAACATTAAGCTATGTGAGCAGAGGACATACATAATGACAATGGTAAGAAAATGAAAGAGGACTTGATTTTCAGTTTTATACAATACAGCTGCTACAAAAAACAAGACAGTAGTTTGTTTAATTTCTCCTCTGACAGCATTAGACTGTAAATTCCATGATACTGGAAAATTTTGTGTTGTGATCACTATTATATTCACATCATCTAAAAGTAGTATTTGGCACATAGTAGCTGGCTCAGTAAATACTAGCTGAATAAATGTTGTAAATACCTGATTTTACTTTTATAACTTAAATAAGGATCACCTTTAAGTCTTGGTTTTTTATGGATTACTACTTAATATTAAATTTCTTCACTAAATTATACTGATGTTAGAAATGAAGTTTTAAACATTTTCTATATAAATTCGATCACTTCCTAATTCTATACACTTCTAATTTAACAGTTCTTTGTTTTTACTAATGCTAAAAAATTTGTCATATTAGTGTCAAGTTAGAATATAGAAGAAGAAATAAGATTTAAAATGTCAGCAATTAGTTTAAGTGTAACATGGTTAAGACCATGCTGATAAATATAAAATATCTGACATATTGGGCTTGATGATTCTTTGTGGGAAAACGTACTGTCCTATGCACAGTAGACTGTTTAGCAGTAACCCTGGCCTCTACCGCCAGTGGTATCAACCAAAAAATGTCTCTAAACATTGTCAAATGTCCTTTAGTTGGGGGTGGGGAGCACAGTTGCTCTCGGTTGAGAACCAGAACTTTAGATATTAGAAATATATTGGCAAAAAAGATTTACCTGAAAGCAAAAATGATCAAAATACCCTATGGATTAAATACAAATGTTTTCTTTCAATTGATGAGAAGATATAAACTTATAAGCACAATATATATAATGTGAAGTAGCAGATAAATATCTGGAATATATAAATCACGTAACTGTCCTCCATTGGAGTTACAGAATTTCAGAGCAGAAGAACTTTTAAGGTCATCTAGTGTAAACTCATGATGAAACTCGGATTTTAAGTAGATAAATAACTTGCCCAACGTCTTATAGTCAGGAAGTAGCATTTTTATGAGTACTACCACCAATATCTGTTCAACAACTGACTGGATAAAATAAGCACGCAGCCTGTAGAGTTCTTACTATAGAATAGTGTATTCTATATAATAAGGGACACTTAACTGTATTAGTGTTCCTAAACTGGCACAAGAAGAAGGCATCACTGATGCCTAAAAAAGGCCAATGGAAATACTGTAGTAATAAATTAAAGAAATTTGTAATTTTAGTTGAAAATACAAACAGATTCAAAAATGGCCTATTTCAGTGGTAAGGAGTTATCAAAAATTGAGTTTTGATTTTGTGACTCAATGAATCAACACTGAATGCCTCTATTTATGAAATTTGATATTGAGAAAGCTATTTTTTTCTGTGACACCCATTTTTAACTTTGCACAGAAAAATCTGAGAGACAAAGTTCCACAATTCATATGACCTTTTCAGACATGCTATTAATAGCAACCTTGACTATTTGTCTGCCAGTGTCTGTGTGGGCACATACAGTTCTCATACAAATACTCCTGGTAGTTAATTCCAATTTCTGAATCTCTGATAAGAGGGCAAATAAATTAAAAGATGCTGCATGCAATTATTATATCAAAAGCCATCTCTGACATCCCAAATATCAACATCTGTGTTTTTTTTTTCCCACTAATGATCTTAGGATTTCATATGACAGAAGAAAGAACTTCTGAAAATTAAGAATATTAAAAACATTTTTAAAAACCTTAAAAACAGGATATATTTTATTTAGTTGGAGATATATACAAATACTTATAATGAACAGGTGCTGTGATCTTGGGTTACATAGAACATTAATGTTTATCAAATAATAAGCTATAGGTAGAACAATATAACTTTTTCTTTCATTCATTCACTTATCAGACATTTACATATATATTGGCCCTATGCTGGCAAATAGGAATAAGAGACAAGGTCGTGAATCATTATCCTGCTGAGGAATAAAAGACAGGCCATATTTTAATCATGTCACATATAAGGATAGGGAATACATGGCATTCAACCTTAGATTCTTTTTATTATTTTATCAATTGAGGACACAAAGAGAGAAAACAATTTTGAATAGGGTAATACAAATATTTGTAACTTACTTTGAAAAAAGCGTACTTTCTAAAAAGGAGAAACATTTTAAAAAGAAATTTGTGATATTCCATAAAATCACTGGCAATGTAAAGCACTTTAGAAAAATGAGTTATGTGAATGTTAAGCTACAATTCTGGTGAAGCCATTTTTATAATAATCTTTCCATTGAGTAAATGCTTACTCTGTGCCAGGCATTGTTACATATTTTATGTTATCTCACTGAATCTGTGTATTACATATTTTATCTCAACTCATATAAAACACAGCCATCTAGTGAGGTATCTATTATTCATTCTAATTTACAGATAAGAACACTGACACCTAGAGAAGTCAAGGAACTTGTCCAAGGTTACAAGAATTGTATTCAGGGAAGCTGGGCATCTACTCTGCTCTGATGAACGCAAAGCCTGTACTTCTCTTCCTACATGTACCTTTCTTTATGATGTTGCAGGACGAAGTGGGGGAAAAGGATTTTGCACAGAGGCACTAGCTTGTGCAATAGTACAGAGGTAGTACAAAGCATGTAAAGAAAATTTTAAAAAGACCAGGTGCATACTGAGGGAGGGAGTGAGTGGTATGAAATGAGACTGTAGGTAGGCAGGAGTAGGTCATGCAGGGTCATGTTTGGATTTGGGATTATAACCAAAGTGCAGGAAAAAAAATTGAAGCATTTTAAGCATCTGAGTCTTGTGATCAGATGTATATTTTAAAAAGATAATTTTGGCTGCCTACAGAAAATGGATTCGATAGAGAAGAGTCCAGTTAGAAGGCCATTTCAATAGTTTAGGCAAGAGATGATAGTAGCTTGGTGGAGACAGTGAAAAGTGAATACATTACAGAATATTGTAGAAGTAGAACTGACAACATTTGGTGATAAATTAGAAGACAGAATAAAGAATGGGAATGCCAGGATCACTTCTGAATTTCCAGTATTATCTTTTAGATTTTGGAAGATAGAAAAAGAGAGAAATTTAATTTTAACCAGAACAAGATTAATGATCAGACTATTCTATATTATTTTAGCATCTGTTTATTTAAAACTAATTGTATTTGTTTCCTAGGGCTTCCAGAACAAATTGTTGCAAATGGAGTGGCTTGAAATAACAGAAATATATTCTCTCACAGTTAGGAAGCTAAAAGTCTGAAATCAAGGTGCTAGCAGGAACACACTCCACCTGAAGCCTCGATGGCAGAATTCTTCCTTGCCTCTTCCTAACTTTTGATAATTACTGGCAATCTTTTGCATTGTTTGGTTTGTAGAACATCACTATAATCTCTGCCTCTGTCTTCACAGTGCCTTCTCTGTGTATCTGTGTCCTTTTTCCTCTTCTAATCAGTATGGCAGTCAATAAACTTAAGGCTCATCCTAAATTCAGAATGATCTCATCCTTAACTAATTACATCTGAAAATAGGATATATTTCCAAATAAGGTCACATTTTGAGGTTCGAGCTGGTCATAAAGTTTTGGGGGATACTATTCAACTCACTACATTCACTGTTAATTTTATTGGCTTTATTTTTTTCTTGTTATTACTTATCATCATCATCATAATTAGCATTTGCTAGGAAAGAAAGAGGTACTGTTCTAATGTTTTCATAGGTTGAGGGGTCATGACTGTTGGAGGAACCCAAGAACATACCTAAATATGCTAGACAGAATTGCAAGACTCATAATATAGTAGTACTTATGGCAATTATTTATTACATAAAAGGAGACAGCAAAATCAGCAAAGGAAAAGGTGCTTAGGGTGAAGTCCAGAGGAAAGAAAGCACATGCTTCCAGCTGGAGTTGCAAAGGACATACTTAATTCTCCCAGAGTTGAATTGTGACAACACACACGAAGTGTTGTTTCTGCTCATTAGATACTCAGTACCCAAGTTTTTATTGGTGACTGACCACGTAGGCACCTCTACTTAGCGCAGGTCAAAATTCCAGACTCCCAGAAGGAAAATAGGTGTTCTTCATAAATCACATTGTACAGGTACTCCAGGTACACAGCACACCACTCTTACAGTTAAGGAACAGTGGGAATACTCCTGAAACCCAAGTTCCCAGATGCCAGTCAAGGCCCAACCTTGCAAGCAGGAATTTCTAAGGATAGCAGCTCCAGGCCTGTTATGTTAGTTCTTCTCTCTCTTCTCTCTCTCTCTGTCTTTTCCCCTTTCCCTCTCTGACATCTCTCTCTTTTCTCCCTCTCCTCTTTCTCCTTTCTCTCCTCCTCCTTCCTCCTCTTCCTCTCTTCTTCTTCTTTCTCTCCCCTCCCTCTCTTCCTTCCTTCCTTCCTTCCTTCCAGACAGGGTCTTGCTCTGTTGCCCAGACTGGAGTGCAGTGGTACAATCACAGCTCACTACAGCCTTGAACTCCTAGGTCAAGCAGTTCTACCTCCCAATAGCTGGAACTATAGGCACACACCTCCTTGCCTGGCTAATTTTTTTAATTTTAATTTTTGTAGAGATGAAGTCTTACTATTATGCACAGGCTAGTCTCAAACTTCTGTCCTCAAATAATCTTCCTGCCTCAGCCTCCCAGCCATATTTTATTTTAATATTTTAAGGAGATTAAAGAAAGATGAAGTTTTAGCCTAATTAACAAAATCAAGGGATTAAGAGATTTACTTTCACCTTTATGGAGAAATAAAAATATAAAATTCAAAAAGAGTATATGTACATGCTATAGCAGAAGCCAGTCTGGTATAATTATTTCTGTTTTGTTTTGTTTTTTACCTAAGGGAGTGATGTCCTGAAGTATAATCCAGTTTTCCAAATTTTTGTGTTCGGTAGCCATGCTTCTCCATGACATCCATCCATGTTGTATAATTTGGATCTAGACCCTTAAAATTATTCCATGATTCTGTTAAGTGAGTGAAGAGGCCACTCCACATTGCTGAGGGAAAAAAAGAAATTGGGATTAAAGTAAAGCTTGACAATGTGCTTGAACTATTAAGACAATTACTCTGAGAGAGCAGTCCACTAGCTTAGGACTAATGCTCTGGAATAAGACATACCCACATTAGGTGCTTTGCCTAATATTTCTGATGGTTACCTCCATTTATCAGGGATAAAGCCTTACAAGGAGCTCCTATTTTCTTCCATTTTACAGATGAGTTGACTAAGGCTTAGAGGATAAGTTACTTTCTGTAAATACAGCTGGAATTAAATATAAAGCCTGTGTGACTCTAGAGTCTTCTTTCAATCATAAAAACAATCCCTATGTATTTACTGCTTAATTTTCTAAATCAGTCAGTAGAAGTGTCGATCTCATTTTCCCAGTATCCTCAGGGATTTTTCCTATTCCTTGTCTTTTTGCTATCTTTTCACAAAAAGAAATTAAGTATACTATGTCTTCTTTCTTATTCTCGACAACTATGATTGCTTATTCCATAAATACTTACTTTCCTTTTCTCATTTCTGTGTACACATTTCTTATATGAAATGTATATAATCTGAAGTAATGTGGAAAAAATTCAGATAAATCTGAATCTAAGAAGTTCTAATGACTCTGTGGTATACTCTAGTGTCCATATAAGTCCTCCCAATTATCTATACCCTTACTGAAAAATTTCCCTGGAAACAGAATTCTTCTAGGAAATATGAGTATTTCCTCACTTGCTCAAGTCAAAAGATTTTTAGTCATCACTGATAAGGAAATGGAACTATAACACATAAACTACATTATCAGATTATCATTCTAAAAGATAAAAGTTCCTACTCTTTAAAATAAATTAGGCCAGGTTCAGAGGCTCAGCCTGTAATCCCAGCACTTTGGAAGATTGAGGAGAATGGATTGCCTGAGCCTGTGGGTTCGAGACCAGCCCAGGCACTTGGCAAGACCTTGTCTCTACAGTAAAAAAAACAAAAATTAGCCGGGCATGGTAGCATGCACCTGTAATTCCGGCTCCTTGGAAGGCTGAGGTGGAAGGATCGCTGGAGCCCAGCAGGTCGATGCTGGGGTGGCTGTGAATGTGCCATGGTACTCCACTCCAGCCTTGACAACAAACAGAGTGAGACTCCAACTCAGTTAAAAAAAAAAAAAAGAAAAAGAAAAAGAAAATAAATTAGAAATTCTGATAACCCCAATACTCAACATACACCTTAAAATACACACGAACCTATATTTATTAAAAAATTTACTACCCTACTTCTAGGTGTAATCTTTTAAACTGTAAGTATATTTTCAATGCGTTGTAACTTTCTTCCGTGAATATTAAGGATGTTCATACCTGCACGTGATGGACAACAGATTGGAGAGTTGGTATAGGCATTCAGAAAGGAAGTGCCCCGTGCTTTCATGAAATTGATAAAAGGAAGTTTCACTACCAGACTTCCTGGATGAAAAGTTAACCTTCCATCCTGGAATAAAGAAATTTAATTAACATTGATTGCATTTCAAAAGAAGAGAATTATTTTAACAATACAATTTACATAGCCAAAAACTTCACTATGAATATAAAATACCAGGAGAAAAAAACAAGTACAGAGAGTATTGCCAGTAACTGGTACATAAATATCTAGAACTCAATGCAGTGTTACACTTGAATTCACTTGAATATAGCTTTTTCTTTCTTTCTTTCTTTTTTTGAGTCAGAGTCACACTCTGTTGTCCAGGCTGGAGTGCAGTAGCATACTCATGGCCACTGCAGCCTTGATCTGCTGGGCTCAGGTGATCATTCTACCTCAGCCTTTCAGGGTTGGAACCACAGGCATGTGCCACTATGCCCAGCTAACTTTCTTAATTTATTGTAAAGATGAGGTCTTGCCAAGTTGCCCTGACTGGTCTCAAACCCTTGGGCTCAGACAATCCTCTCACCTCAGCCTCCCCAAAGTGCTGGGATTATAGGTATGAGCCATTGTGCCTGGCCAGTTATTATTAAATTAAATGACTTTCTGTAAAGTTCTTTTGGGGAATGATGGACTGATTAGACAAATATTTATTGACTACTTACTACATACTAGGCACTGTGCAAAACCAGAGGATACAATGGTGAATAAAACAGAGTCCCTGCCCCTAGAAACTTATAGTCTAGTGAAATAGGCAAAATGTATACTGACAAATGAAATGTGAATAATTACAAATATGATATATGCTTTGGAAAAAACCTGAGATACAGAAGAACAAGGGAGACCTGCTTTAGATAGAGTGGACAGGGAAGTCTTCTCTGAGATATGTAAGACCTAGAGTTGATACAGAGACCCACTAATGTCTATCCATATTGAAGTGCATGGCAAGGGTTCAAGTGCTCCTGTACGTTTCTGAGCACATCCTTGAGAGTCCCCTTGTCTTCTGGGGATCCTTGACTTCCCTGCAGACTACACCCAAAGATGTAAATCCCTATTTATTTCCTTTCTTAACAGTCACAGGTTTAAACAATATAGTATCAATGTAATTGTAAGTCTTGTGATTTGTGTAACTTTTGCATCAGTGTAATCCTAAGTCTTGTGATTTGCAAAACTTTTGCAACGCATGATGTCTTAAACCTGTAAACTTCCTTTACTCTCAATGTCACTATCTAAATGTAAAATGCAGTTGTAACTTAAGTTCTATACAATGCTCTGCTGGTCACATGGCTAATGTATAGGTACCCACAACTCTGAACTATAAAAGTGAACTGCGAGGCCTGAAGGGTGGCTAGAATCATTTTAGAAGGACCTTGAGTCCAGCTCTGATTTGAATTCAGAAATAAACTTCTTTCTACCAGTTCTCTGTCCCTTTGATTTATCAGTATCAAGGGAGAGCAGCCGAGCATTACTCAGACCATAACAGAGTGAGCAGGATACAGTCACTCAAAAAATTTAAGAGACATGTAAAGTATGAGATATTTGTGAGATGTGGTAATGTCAATTAGACAGCTGAATAAATGAATCTGAAGATGAGAAGAGATGTTTGGCTACAGATATGCATTTTGGAGATTAACTGGGGATGGTAGAACTCTCTTGGTAAAGGGCAAAGACAGAAAAAAGAATATCCCATTCTTGGAGTTATATCTACTGTATTGTTTTCAACATAATTATAAAATACAGTTTAAAAAATTAGCCAATCCAATCTATGCAATACACACAAACCCTTGAGATGTCTGAGATTTCCAAAGGGAGCTACAAAGTTGTCAGTGGGATGCACACAGGTGCTGGAGTTCAGCGAAGTCTATCGTGGTGAAATAAACCTGGGAGTCTTTAGCATATTCATGGTACTGAAAGCTGTGAGACTCCCTCTTTAGGGAAAGAGTGTAAGGAGAGGAAAGAAAGGGGTCCAGAGGAAGCTGTGAGGAGTCCCAAACAAGAGGAGAAGGCAGTGTGGGGATACTGAGAATGCACGGCCAGTAGGGGAAGAAGCTATGAAGTGAGGGCCCTGAGATCTGAGAAGACAGTGCCAAGAAAGAGGGAATGTCTGCTATGCGGAGGAGCTACCTGAAAGGAGGCTAGAAAATGCACCTTGGAATTGGCAGTATGCACAGAGACAGTTGGTGACCTTGCTGAGAGCACTTCCAACGGTGTAGCAGGGACAGCCAGCTACACTGGAAATGGGAAAAGAGAAAGGGAGGCAAGAAAGTGAGGCGGCAGGTGAAAAAAAAAACTCTTCTAAGAATTTATTTTGCAAGGGTTAATAGAAAAATAGAAAGGATGAATGTGGAAATGGCATGTTAACTGGAGGCGAATGTGGGATTCAGGTCAGGTTTTTTGTTTGTTTTGTTGTTTTAAGATGGGGAAGATTAGAGCATGTTTTATGTTAAAGTAAGTGACCACTTCTAGTGAGTAATCATTGACTGCAAACCAAATAACTATAGCTCTCCTCAATACCGAGCTAGAAGGCCTAAGACAAAGGTACACGAATTTCTCTAAGACCATAAATCTGAATTCTCAGAAACCCTTCTTCACAAATTCCAAAAGCCTACAGTCTTTTGGACATAGGGAAATAACTCTTTGTGGCCACTTCCTGGAATCTAGACAACTCAGCCACCCAGACAGAAGGTCACGAGGCAGAAGCACTGTTATGGAGGATGCCATACAGTTCAAATACTGTGGCTTGGGCTCCAAGTCCTGCAAGCTGAGTTTGAAATGGTGAAACAACCACTGCGAAAGGCTGCTGCAGTATGTCAATAATTCACACCAGATTAAAACGGTTGTTAGTGACTTCTTGACTCATTTCTATGACTGGTACAGGAATGCCATGTATATTAAAAGCAGGCTAGAAAGCAGGAGTCATTAAAGTGTGGAGCAGCAGAGCTGGCCAGAAGGAGAGGGGGTAACTGCACCACTTGGGGTGATTCCTAACAATTCCATGTGTGAAAGGTGATCTGTGTAAGATTACTGCCTGAGATATATGAGGCAGGGATATATAAATGTTTAGTGAGTGAAATGAAACAAATCTCTAATCCAGAGATCTGTTCAATTTCCAAAAGAAGACAAATGTAATATGCTTCAAAATTCAACAGTATATTTTGCAAAGCTAAATAAACTGGATCAAGTACATCAATGGAGAGATTTGTATTTGATTAGGTCTTTAGGAAATATTTAAATTATGATACACATATTCTCAATGTCAAGCACATTAGTCATACCCTAAACAAATAACCAAAATTTTATGTATTATCAGAGAAAGTATTAAACATTTTCTAGAAGTTTTGGTTTTTAATTTTGTGTGGTTTTTGCACACTGGAAAATAATTTTAAAAATAGGCTACTATTAGTACTGCTGATAATGGTATCAATTGGTCCACATAACTCTGAAGTGGATATTAACATGGCTAGCTGATGATAAGCAGAGAAAGTAGATTTTCCATAATATGCCAATGTGCTTTACAATGGATAGTCAGTCACAGGTAAAAACACAGTTCTGTCATATTTAGTTGGAAGAGAAAATACTGCAGAATGGCTTTTGGGATAACCTTCATAATTTACTAATAGCCCATTTCAATGTCCTCAAAACTATTCCTATGGTTCAAACAAATTAAACTCTCTAACATGGGCATTTACGAAATAAATAGAGGTCCATTAATCAGATTTCTGCATAAAAGTGACAGAAATGGTACCAACTGCTTCAGTTGCAGCATTCTGTTACTATTTTTAACTCTCATGGGTCCAAACATTTTCCTCTTGGGGTGGATGAGTCTTTTGGTAGATAGGATTTTGACTGCTCCTTCTGAACCATGGTTTGAACTAAGTTCCTCATCATTCTGGTTCCAGGGAGAACTAGAGAAGAAGTTTAGATTAGATATCCATGTATCATCCTAATGAAAGAATATACAAGTAACCTTAACTGTCTTATCAGTTGTCATGACAAGACTTTTTATGTATAGGGTTCTTCCCAGATGTGTCCATCAGACTGAGTGGAATGCTCAGTAGATGCTGTAGTATACATTACTGACCCTGATCCCCACTCCTGTCATCAAAATTAAAACCAATGCAGGTGCAGTCGCAGGGAGGGGGTGGGATTGGGTGGTGGGAGTGGGATGCAAAGGATGCCTGTGTCCTTTAAGGACCAAGGCAGAGATGCTTATTTTTTACTTTTTAAAATAGGTTTATTAAGATAAAGTTCACACACAACTTACCATTTAAAGTGTACAATTTAATGTTTTTTAGTATATTCAAAAACTTGTGCAACCATCACCACAATCGACTTAAAGATTTTCTTATCATCCCAAAAAGAAACCCTGCACTCCTTAGCCATCACTCTTTATTCCCCCAAACCACAGGCAACCATTAATCTACTCTTTACATCTACTCTTTATCTCTATATACTTGCTTTCTCTGGATGTTTCATATAAATGGAATCATATAATATGTGGTTGTGACAGTGTCTTTCATTTAGCATGTTTTCTAGGTTTCATTTACACTGTAGAGGTATCAGCACCATATTTCTTTTTTATTGAATAATATTAACAGCTTTTATGAATCCATTTGTCAGTTTATAGACATTTGGGCCATTATGTATAAAATGCTATGAATATTCATGTACAAAGTTTTATATACAAGTACATGTATTTTCATTTCCTTTGGATACATATCTAGAAGTGGAATTGCTGGATTATACGGTAATTCTATGATTAACCATTTGAGAAGCTGAAAAATTGTTTTTCAATGGCTGCACTATTTTACATTTCCAATAGTAGTGTATGAGGGTTCCAATTCCTCCATATTTTTGCCAATTCTAATTATTACTTATCTCTTTTATTATAGCCATACTAGTGGATGTGAATTGGTGTCTCATTGTGGTTTTGATTTACATTTCCCTAATGACTAATCATGTTGAGTATCTTTTCATATGCTTATTGGTCATTTGTATATTGTCTATGGAGAAATGTCTATTCAGATCTTTTGCTCATTTTTAATTTCCTAATCCAAAGTCACATATGTTTA